TCGCGGCTTCGCCTGGAGAAGGTAGTCGATGATGTCGATGGAGGTCCCATCATCATCCGTGGAGGGAGAACGGAATCCCTTGAGAAGCAATACGTTAGATGAAAATTCCTGATGAATCGGCATCGTCCCCGGTTGAGAGCAACCAATGGAGCCCATCATTCCAACATTTCAACATTGTTTTGCATGGGTGCGTGCATGCAGAATTTCTATGAATTTCTCCACCTGGTTCATGCTAGGCTGGGTTGGTGGCTTCAACTGCCCTGAAAATTCCTGAACAATCCTGAATATATCAGCTATACAGTCGCTGGAGATCAATCTGAAACCACCAGCACATCATTTCGTTCCAAACCCAGAAGCGTAAGCCCCGTCCTCTTGATCGCGGTGGCCGGCTGCTGCAAGCGTTGTGCTCCTACACGTCACGTTTGGAATGTGAGGGCAATTCATTGAAGTTGGCCGAGCAAAATCTGAGGTGCCGTGTAACAGTGTAGATATGGACTGGACATACAAACTGTATCATTATGTAAAACAAAACAACTGGCAGAGTTTATCATTCAACAACCAGCTCCAGTCATCGATCGAGCAGCCTGGAAGCTCCAGCTGCTCAATCTCCATGAGCTTCTCATCCGCTTGACACTCATAGTGCTTCGCTTCGAGAGAGAAAGGTGAGATGGGGGCACCAGTGGCACCAGCTAACCTCACCTGGTAGCTGAGCACTTCCACGGCAAGACATGAACAGATTGAAAGGACATGAGCAAACGGAGAACCAAATCAAATAAACATGTAAATAAGTCACTACCCAACACAATATGGGTCTGTCTGCAAATAAAGTCCCTCCAAATTTGATGCTTTATCACCATTTCTTTGATTGAAATGCATTCTGGGTTAATATACGCATATTTACCAGTAGTACCGCACAAGGCGGTGGCGGAAGTTTCAGAATAGGAAACCTATAGGAGACGTTGGTTGTTGTGAATCACGGATGGCAGAGCGAACCCACTGATTGAACGAAAGGTGGTTGGAGTTGTGTTTGCTGGAGTGGTTGCAATGGTTGCAGTGGTCACCTCACCCACAACTGCTGGATGTAGTGTGATGTACTGCTAACTGTAGTTGTAGTTGTAGCGTAGTGGAGTTGTAGTTGTGGTGTAATGTAATTAGTGTAGTGTAGTTGCAGTCATATAGTTGTAGTTGTAGTTGTTGTAGTTGTTGTAGTTGTTGTGTAGTTGTAGTTGTAGTTGTTGTAGTTGTAGTTGTTGTAGTTGTAGTTGTAGTTGTTGTAGTTGTTGTAGTTGTTGTTGTTGTTGTTCTTGTTGTTGTTGTTGTAGCTGTAGTTGTTGTGTAGTTGTAGTTGTTGTGTAGCGTAGTCGTAGTTGTTGTAGTTGTAGTTGTTGTAGTTGTTGTTGTTGCTGTTGTTGTAGTTGCAGTTGCAGTTGCAGTTGTAGTTGTAGTTGTTGTTGTTGTTGTAGCTGTAGTTGTTATAGTTCTAGTTGTAGTTGTTGTGTAGTTGCAGTTGTAGTTGTAGTAGTTGTTGTTGTTGCTGCTGCTGTTGTTGTAGTTGTAGTTGTAGTTGTTGTAGTTGTAGCTGTAGTTGTTGTAGTTGTAGTTCTGGTTGTTGTTGTAGTTGTTGTGTAGTTGTAGTTGTAGTTGTAGTTGTAGTAGTTGGAGTTGGAGTTGGAGTTGGAGTTGTAGTTGTTGTTGTTGTTGCTGTTGCTGTTGTCGTCGAAGTTAGGGTAGTTAAGTTAGTGAAGTTAGTTAAGTTAGTCAAGTTAGTTAAGTTAATCAGTGTCTACTTTTTCGACATCGTAACGTCAAAAAAGGCTCAAAACCCTCAGTTTTTTACACTTTTGACTTCGAAATGTGCTTCGCGCCGCAACGGCGTGCACTTTTTCGACACTTTTTCGACATCTGAACCTCCAAAAGTGGTCCGAGCATGGTGTGTTTTGTACATTTTGACTTCGAAATGTGCTTCGCGCCTCAACGGCGTGCACTTTTCCGACATCGCAACTTCCAAAAGTGGTCCGAGAATGGTGTGTTTTGTACATTTTGACTTGGAAATGTGCTTCGCGCCACAACGGCGTGCACTTTTTCGACATCGCAACTTCCAAAAGTGGTCCGAACCTGGTGTGTTTTGTACATTTTGACTTGGAAATGTGCTTTGCGCCACAACGGCGTGCACTTTTTCGACATCGCAACTTCCAAAAGTGGTCCGAGAATGGTGTGTTTTGCACATTTTGACTTGGAAATGTGCTTCGCGCCACAACGGCGTGCAATTTTTCATCTCTCCTCTGGCCAGCTGGCTCCGCACCCGCCGCTTTAGCGAGCCTACTTTTCGACCCTCCGGAGCCAAAAATCATTGGAAAAACACAGTGTTTCGCGACTTTCCTACCTTTTCGCGCATCTGTATCTTCTGTCTTCTTACTCTTTCTCTTCTAATCTTTCTCTTCTCTATGCCTCTTCCCTGCTCTGCTTTTCATCTCTCCATATTGTCGGAAGTTTGACTTCTAAACTTCCTTCGCCTATATATATATAACTTTAACATACTTTATATACGTTATCATGCCATCATATTATACTGTATTGTATGATATTATAGTATATATTATATTATGTTATGGCATAACCATTTCCATCCATTTCCAACAGCTCAGCCATATCTTTGAACCATTTTGACACCTACCTCCGGCACATGGACGTCAAGGCGTTGCCGCTTCCCTCGCAGTTCCGCCCGGGCCGTGGCATCGTTCAGCTCCGAGGCTCGGTGGATCTCATCGCTGGGATCGTTGCAGAAGTAGAAAATCCGACTGGAGCCCCTGGCGAAGGAAATATCATGATAGATTGACAAATGAAATAACATGAGATAACTGTTTATATATATATAGCTGTACATTATAGATCATAGATATTCATAGATGATGATCGGATGATACTTGTATGATACTTCTTTGAGGGATCAATCATAATTTCCTTCATCATTGGAACATGATAATCTCAGCGAAGGGGTGATGATGGTGGAGGAAACTTTGTCTGGCTGATATCATTAGAATTATCCGGGCACCACTGAACATTCGGGTTTTACCGGCCAGCGAAACGGCGGCTTCCGACTCATGTGAGAAATGCCAAGAACTTGTTCATTGAAAGCTTAAACAAACCAAATCACACACCGTGGATCTGTGCGGCCCAGTTTGTAAAGCTTTGATTTGTTTTGAGTTCAAACTTGGTTAAGTCCGGTTAAGTCAGATCCCGCCTGCCACTGCCTGCAACGTGACTGCGAGTTGAGGTGAAGTGGTCAAAGCGAACCACCCAGCTGCAGTCAAGTACCAGGCCTTCCTCCAAAGCAACTGTGGAGACCAACACCTTAGATGAAGAGAATAACGAATCTGAAGATGTGGAGTAAAACAAATGGGGGTTTCTATAGTCATGGGGGTACCCCGATAGCTGGATGGTTTATAATGGAAAATCCTATTCAAATGGATGATTTGGGGGTACCCTCATTGTAGATAGATCATTGTAGAAACCTCCAAATCATGTCGGGTTTGTCTCAAATTTTGGGATGCCCCAATTTATGACAATTTTAATTGGGAAAATTATGATAAAACAATGAAGCCATGGGGTTTTGGGACACCCCAACTTTGATTCTTTTCAACTATGTGACATGTTTCCATTCCTCTCGGGCCATTGAATCCCAGAAGCCTGCACTGTCCCAGACCTGAAGTCATCAAGGATCTTTGCGCAGTCTCTTCTTTGGGCATAGTAAGCTTCAGCCATGACCCCGACATTTTCAACGATTCCCTGGGCCAAAGGCAAGGTGACGGCTGCATCCTTTACGAAAATCACGGCCTTTGCAGTCTCCAATCCTGCGAGCAGTTTCCTGGGGTTACAACTGCTGTTTAATGATTCAACAACCAACCATAGCATATTTGTATCTATCTATCTAATCTAATCTAACCGATCAATTCTATCTACTCTATCTATAGCAGTAGTGCTGCGCAAAGCGGTGGCGGAAGTTTCAAAAATAGGAAACCTATAGGAGAGGTTGGTTGTTGTGAATCACGGATGGCAGAGCGAATCCACAGATGGACTGAAAGGTGGTTGGGCCGGTTGGGCCTGTGTTTTTTGCAGTGGTTACAATGGTTGCAGTGGTCACCTGGTCGGTCACCTCACCCACAGCTGCTGGATGTAGTGTGGTAAAGTGCAGCTGTAGTTGTAGCGTAGTGGAGTTGTAGTTGTGATGTAGTGTAATTAGTATAGTGTAGTTGCAGTTGCATTTGGTGGTGTAGTGAGTGTAGTGTAATGTAATGTAATGTAGGGTAGTGTAGTGTAAATTAACATAGTTGTAGTTGTAACTGTACTTGTAGTTGTAGTTAGTGTAGTCTAGTCTAGTGTAGTGTAAAATAGCGTAGTTGCAGTTGTAGCTGTAGCTGTAGTTAGTGTAGTGTAGTGTAGTGTGGCGTGGTGTGGTGTAGTGTGGTGTAGTGTTGTGTTATGCAGTTGTAGTTGTAGTGACTAGTGTAATCGAATGTAGTGTAGTGTAGTGGAGTGTAGTGTAGTGGAGCGTAGTTTAGTGGAGCGTAGTGTAATGTAGCGTAGTGTAATGTAATTAGCGTAGTCTAATGTAATTAGTGAAGCGTAATGTAGTGTAGTTGTAGTTGTAGTGTTGTGCAATTAAGTGTAGTGTAGTGTAGTGAAGTGGAGCCTAGTGTAGTGTAGTGTAGCGTCGTGTAATGTAGCTGTAGTTGTAGTTGTAGTTAGCGGTTAGCGTGGTGTAGTGCAGTGTTTTGTACATTTTGACTTCGAAACGTGCTCCGCGCCACAACAGTGTGCACTTTTTAGTCGTGTAGTTGCAGTTGCATTTGTGGTGGTGTAATGAGCGTAGTGTAATGTAATGTAGGGAAGTGTAGTGTAAAGTAGCGTAGTTGTAGCTGTAGTTGTAGTGAGTGTCGTGTAGTGTAGTGTAGTGTAGTGTAGTGTGGTGTAGTGTAGTGTAGTGTAGTGTAGTGTTATGCAGTTGTAATTGTAGTTGTAGCTGTAGTTGTAGTGTAATCAAGTGTAGTGTAGTGTAGTGTAGCGGAGTGTAGTTTAGTGTAGTGTAGTGGAATGTAATTAGTGCAGTGTAGTGTAGTGTAAAGTAGTGTAGTTGTAGTTGTAGCTGTACTTTTAGTTGTAGTTTAGCGTAAAGTAGCGTAGTTGTAGTTGTAGCTGTAGTTGTAGTCCGTGTAGTGTAGTGTGGTGTGGTGTGGTGTAGCGTGGTGTAATTAGGGAAGTGTAGTGTAATGTAGGGTAGTGTAGTGTAGTGTTATGCAGTTGTAGTGGAGTGGAGTGGAGTGTCGTGTAGTGTAGTGTAGTGTAGTGGTCGTTGTAGCTGAAACGGCTGCAAAACCTTCACGTTTTGCTTCCTTTTGACACTGTACAGAATGCCTTGCGCCTGCCACACGAAGCGACATCTGAACGTCCAAGGCCGTCAGTTTTTAACACTTTTGACTTGGAAATGTGCTTCGCGCCTCAACGGCGTGCACTTTTTCGACGTCTCAACTTCTAAAAGTGTTCCGGAGCTGAGGTGTTTTGTACATTTTGACTTGGAAATGTGCTTCGCGCCACAACGGCATGCAATTTGTCATCTCTCATCTGGCCAGATGGCTCGCACCCGTCGCTTTAGCGAGCCTACTTTTCGACCCTCCTGAGCCACAAATCATTGGAAAAACACAGTGATTCGCGTCTTTTCTACCTTTTCGCGCACCTGCATCTTCTTTCTTCTGACTCTTTCTCTGACTCTTTCTCTGCTCTGATCTTCTTGCTTCTTCTCTGCTCTTCTCTGACTCTTCCCACCTCTGCTTTTCCATCTGTCCATATTGTCGGAAGTTTGACTTCTAAACTTCCTTCGGTAATCTATCTAACCTACCTAACCTACCTAACCTATCTAATCTGATAATCTATCTGAAAATCTATCTGGTAATCTATCTGATAATCTATCTGGCAATCTATCTCCTAATCTATCTGGTAATCTATCTGATAATCTATCTGATAATCTATCTGATAATCTATCTGATAATCTATCTCTATCTCTCTCTCTCTCTGTCTCTCTCTCTCTCTCTGTCTGTCTCTCTGTCTGTCTTTCTTTTTATTTTAAGTCTTAAATATGTACAAGCAAAACTGAGGGCTCAACCCATGATGGTTGGAACCTACTTGAACCACCAAATCAGACTGGGGAATTGCGCAGGGTTACTGAGGACCGTCCCATGTCGTGTTTTCAGGTCCTTCGAGCAAGTGATGCAGCATCAACGCCTTCCCAGACACACGTGGCAGATTCTGCGCAGATTCTTTGACCAATGGCCTGAGCATATCTCAGCATGAGTCACCACTGCCCAATCAGCTTCCTGATGTCTCCTCAAGAATCGAATGGGTTTTGGACCAAGCTTCACTAGCTCTTTCAGCCGGTGCTCTACCATGTCCATATTGTCGCACAAGGCTCTCTCCTTGTCCTTTTCCTCGAACTTCAGCACGCTCGAACCATAGGAATTGTGCGCACCCACTATGCTGAGCAAACACGTACTGTACCAATGTGAGATGCTGAGTAGTGATGCTTAGTCGGCAGGGAGTAGTTGGCACAATTGTGTTGTCCGGCCAACTGCTACTTCTGCTACTTCTTTGCCAATAGGGTATGCCAAAGGACACCCGAGGCTACAAACTCTACAACTGCTCCGACGCCAAGCTTCTAAGGCTTCTCTGATTTGTGTGGCGCAGCAGTGGTCCATGTAGTGGAGCAAAGCGTCTCGGCCGAGCTGCTGAAGGACCTTCTGCATTCGGTCCACGATGGTTCGGAAGTCTCTGGCCTGTGCCAGGTGCCGGTAGCCCGAATCCAGGATCAGGCATTGTGCCGGTGCATGTTCAACAAGCCCTTTGTTTAGCTATCAACAGCTTGGACACCCTCACAGTGTTGCTTCAGTGCTGTCCTGCGATCCAATGCCCAGCACATGGCTGAGACTTTGCCAATGACGTTGGAGAAGTTCAATGACAGCCTCAGGGATGAGGGCTGACACACCGGCCCATGGAACAGCAGAACGCCATGGACATTAGGATATAACCCAAGTGGATACACACCCCAAGACCAACATGGAAGATCATGGAAGATGATTGCCCAATATTGGAAGTCACAATTCTTCCGGTTACATGTTGGTTTTCAGATGTGTGTGCCAGCAAAAAAGGTAATTGTACACATGGGATATCAATGGATATCTTGGGGTTGACAAACGCAGGGAAGCAATGGATAGCAATGGTAAGACCAGGCCCAGCCACGCTTGCATCATAGTCATCTGCATCCCAATGAACCTGACTCAGGCTTCAATGCGTTTCAAGCCAAGCACTACTCCAAGGCTTTCCATGACAAGTCTTCAGAGACTCGGTTTTCCCTGTTTTTTAGGTGTGGTGATCCGTTTGCTCCGATTGACATGCAATGTGTTGCGCCTTCTCCCAGCTTTTCCTTTGCAGTGGTGACTCAATCATTTCCTCTGCATCATTGGCTACCTGATGGGTTAACATCAGCGTGGATCAGTGAAAAAGTTGAAATCATGCGAACGCAGAGTGCAGCTATCCCAATGGACAAGGTCCTTCCTTCATTTGACTTCAATTCACCTGCATAACTGGAATCACATTTGGCTTGTATGCTGGTAGGAATTCCAACAATTCACAGTATTCTGCCAAACCCAGAAGAAGAAACCTAATTCCCCCCCAACCAACCAACTATCACCAGTATTTAGCTTCTTTAGTGGATTCTGAATGTATTTTCCTATCATTTCAATCACATCAATAAGTTATGAACATCATATTATCATATTCCCTAGCCACTTTTTGGGACTTTGGGAATCCTTTGGGGTCCCTGCCTTCGGCCAGCACAGCTCAGCTCGGAAGATCTCTTCCAACTCCGCCAGCTCCGCGTGGCCGGCAGCCCGGCCCCGTTTCCGCGATGTCGAGGACGTTGGGCAGGAGGTCAGTGCCAGGAGACGCGGTGGATGGGAGGAGGGATGCAAATGCTCCTGGGGATGGTGTTCCGTGATGTTCCATGATGTTCCATGGTTGGATGATCATGCCAATATTTTTTCATATAATATTATTTCATACATTCTCATTATCATGATAATAAATCATGATTATCTGACTATCTTAAACAGTGCGATTGATTGTCATGATTACATATGATTACCAAAATTCTCGTGGATCTGGCAGCTTAGGGATTCAGTGTCATTCATAAACATCAATGCAGCATGATGATCCACGATGAGAATTTATATGCCATATGGATGGTTTGGCCCCGGGTTTTCAACATAGCAAAACTATGGAGTAATGATGTAAATCATGTCATATAATATAGTATTCTCTCTCTCTCTATATATATATATGGGTGTATATATATATATATACATATAAACACACACACACACATATATATATATATATGGATACATGGTATTTAAATTGATGTTCACCCCCACTGGCTGACTGTAATGGACTACAACTGGTTTCAACAGTTCCCCCCAAGGGGATCAGTTGGTGAAGGCATATAGTACTTTCAGTTGATGAAACTTGATGTTGTTGTGAGACCTTGATTCACCGTCCCACTTGATCATCCGGAATTGATCAAGAATATGGACATTATTATGAACCATGGACACTTCCAGTCCTTGAGAATGATGCCCATTGGGCTTTTCCCCGTGGCATGGTGGCACTCATCAAAAATGAAGAGTGCAATGTCGCAAGGATTCAGCCACGCGGACTGCAGGGCTTGACCTTATACCGGTGTCAAAGGCGGGCCATTGAATCACTGAAGCAAATGGGGATGACTCAAGACCTATTGTTCAAACAACCCAAATCCTATAGGATTCAATTTGGGAAAATGAACCTATTTCATGGTTTTGATTCCAGTACGCGTGTTGTTCTGGTTCAAGGATATGGTATGAACATGGCTAGAAAAAGTGCTTGCGGTTTTCATTGCATTGGCATAGTTATTACGATTTGGTATGAATGCTGCATTCCCTGCCCACAATACCAAAGGTATCGAAATAGTATCAAAATCATAGCGAGGCCGTATCAAATTCACATCGGAAAACCGTCTTGAAATACATACATATAACATCTAGAAAAATCAGGTCTAAATCCATATGTTTTCTTCTAACTGCTGCAAAAACTCGAGCTTGAGACTTTCCCTGGTGGTTGTGGCTTTAAACTGTCAAGAACACTCAAAGTCAAATCAAATCGTATCAAAATCCACATACTTCTGAGGGCTGCTGCATGCTGCTGCAAAGACTTGACTTCGACACATTTCATGTGGGTAATACCTTTTAATATGGTTTTTCTTCCGACAACCAGTGGAGAGAACAAATTGGAATCATATCAGCATCTAAATCATAAATCGGAATCCATACATTCGCAGAAGACTGCTGCAAAAACTCGAATTGGACACTTTTTCTATTGGTTGTGGCTTTTAATAGTCTTTTAATATATCTTACAGTATATAATATGTGTGTTCTTTTCCCACAATCACAACGAGTGGGGAAAACATATCAAACCCGTATCCAACTCATATTTAAAGTTGTCACCCGGACCCGTGACAAACCCAGAGGGAAAAACATGTAAAAATCCAAAATCAAATTGAATTTGACATCATATATCACCATTATAAATAAGCATGTTGAAAACATTTGAACACCATTCAACTTTCATCCTAGAGGCTTTGGATGCCTGAAACCTATTAGAACCACTTCTGGAGATGGACATCAAATTGCCAGCTATTTTGCGCTGAAAATAAGCCAGGGTGATATCTCCCCCATACCTGCATGACAAAGCAGCTTGAGGTCGGAGTTAGTTGCACTGAGAACCAGTTGGCGCACAAACAGCTGAACATATTTGATTTTTCCCAAAGTCTTCAGCCCTTGTATGCTGTTAGACTTGTTTCAAGTTGCTTTTAGCCCTCAGCCAAGGTCCAAGGTACGAAAGCATTCAGGAGTCGCAATGATAACGTCATTTCCTTTGTTGGTGGCTGAGCCATGCTCTTGAACAAAATCGTCAAATGGGAATCGTCCCAAATACAAATGGAACAACGATCAGCCGGGGATCACCATTCCACATTTTCAAGGATGGGAAATCAACAGCATCTTTAAATCTCCAAACATCAATCCCAAGCAAAAAAGGAAAACAAAAACGGCAACACTACAAACATATAATATCAAACATTCCCATAGAAATCCATAGAACAATAAAGAACATCCATCTAGAATCATCCTAGTGTCCGTTGCATCCCTTCTTCCACTCCTCCTTTTCCCAGCGGCACTCACCGGTGACCGTCGCCACGGCAGCCTGTGGCAGCTGCCGAAAGCACCTGGCCGCCTGGTGGCAGAGCTCCACATTGGGCGCTGTGTACGCCACGAGTTGGTCCTGGCTCCGGTACCACTCCGCCAGTTGGCAGGCGACGAAGGTCTTCCCCATCTGAGGAGGTAAAACCAACAGCACGTTCTGGTGCTTCGCCTTCTCCAAACCTGATTTTTTTTTGGGTTATTTTTTTTTTTGGGGGGGCAGGGCAATGAGAATCATGGCAATATGGCAACGATGTTGGAAAAGCTAGGAAAAGATGTCTAAAAATAGGAGAAGCGTGGAAATGCATGGAAATTCAACAAGTTCCGAATCGTGCCATCATTTGAATTCATGTGCTACCTACTGGGAGGGAGTAGCAAACTCTGCCAAGAAGCAGCTCATCTGATAGTCCTTCAATTGGAGCTCTTCCATGGCCCACATATCACCCAAAGCCGGATAGACAAACAAAAAAACAACTCAAAAAACGAAACAGGGGAACTGACTGCAAAATGGCAGCGGGGATAGGTGCTGGATGGCTCTCCGTTTCTCTTTGGCGCGACTGCGATCAATCCCTCCAAGTCCAGGTTAATTCCGTCACTATACCCTTTCTAGCAACCTGCTGATCCCCATGCACGCACAGAAATCATTGGACTGGTTGAGACATATTGAAACATGTTGAGGCATATGGGTGTGTCTGAAAAATGTTATTTCAATATGTATATATATATATTTGATAGGGCCGATAGGGAAAATTATTGTCATCCAATGGACTTGTTTTTTTTCCCTCTCTCTCTCTCTCTCCCTCCCTCCCTCCCGCCATCAGTCAAGACCGCCGGAAGGCAGTGACGAGAAACGGCAAATGGATTTGGGGGCACACTATTTTTCAGACAAACCCATATGGTGTCAACATGTCCTTCTGCCTAAAGGGATCTAAAGGGTCGCCAGCACGACTGAGGCACCAACCGTGATAGTTTCGCATCCTGTTCCCTTGGACAAAATGGAGCTGTCCCCTCCACACCATTGGAATCTTGCCGCTGAGCTCTGAGCAAAAGGATGCATCCGCTGTATCATTTCCCTGAGCAGTCACATGGCACTGAGACACACTGATTCACCAAATCCCCAACTATACATGACCTAACAAACTGGCACCTGGCCCTTCATCTCCCTAGCATCCTTGGAAGGGAGTTAGCTCAGAAAACAAAACAACACAGATAGGGAAAAACCGGCAGTGAGCACTGCCCTGAGCAGTCTTTGACTACGACTTTGTTTAGCCAGGCCATCTGGCCGCTTTAGTCGAATCCCTAACATTCTCCAACCCCTTGCAATCCATACCATATCCATATCCGTCCTGTCACAACCTTTGCGTTTCACCATAGTAGGTGAGCAAACTATACATACCACCAAACTTGGACAATTGATCATCAGCTCTTCTGTCGAAGCCATGGGTAGCGTCCTGAATTTGATCCTGTCACTTTCGGGGCCCACGCAATCATGCGCCGCAGCAGCTCTCTTGACCTTAAGAAACAGCTGTCTGTGGATCCCAGCGTGTAATGTGTGAATATGTATATTTATACAGGAATGCAAATGCAATAAAACATAAAAATGATATATATATATATAGATATATAATAAAACATAAACTAAAATGATATAAAATAAAACGTTATAGAATAATACAGTAGCAAACATTACAATATACTATAATAATCTATAATAGCATATCATATTATTTTATTGCACAATATTTTAAAAACATACATTTTGATACGTGTATATATATATAAACAAAACTAACGGGTCACCACCGATTGTGACCACCTCAGATACCACCTCACTGCGTGGACGTCAAGATCGTATCAAGTAGCAACTTAGTATGCAAAGAAAAGTGACATGCAATGATGCAGTCGTATGCAACATACCTAATTATGTCAATGGGTTGTTTCAAGGGAAAATCTACAGGATACATATGGTGTTAGTTTTTCCCCAAAAAGAAGGTTTCGTTTCGGGTTTCTCTTAAATCAGCCCAGTGATTATGTTACATAGCTCCATTGATTCCCATATATCTCCCGATCATTTCCTTGCTTTCACGTTGCGATGGCCCCCGGACGGCTCCAGGTGCCCACGAAATGCGGACAGGGCCAGCGCAGTGTCTCCATCATCCTGGT